CCCTAAATGCTTCATGAAGAAATTGTAGCAGTCAAAAAGGTAAATAAAAATAATATATTTTGTTTATTTTTAAAGACAATGGTAAACCGTTTTTCTTGATATTTGGTACTTTTACACCAGGGTTGACATGATTTAAATCAAGTGATTTTTTTAAATTTTAATCGTGATTTAAATAAAAAAAATTGTTTTATTGAAACTTTATAATAAATCAAAAAATAACTGTAAAAGTTGTAAAAATGTTCCTAGAAAACTATAAAAAATATTTCTATATCAGATATAACAGATAATACATCGAAAAATAATTGTAAATGTTATAAAACTATATAAAAATATCTAGTCATCAATTTAAATGTTGGACTTGGATTTTTGAAGTAATTTCGTGTGAATCCATTAGACCGCTAAACGCAGGGATTTATTTTGAGTTACAAAAATTTGCTGTGCGAATACTTATATTTATCATTATCATTACGGATAGTCATGTTTTAGTCATGTCTCATGACTAATCTTACTGTAGACTTGCACAATAAATTCTTTATTCTAAATATAAATATATAATTTAACATTAAAGAAAGCTAGTTAAAATTCCCGGAATTTACCAATGATCTTGTTTGTTTTGCCTATGATTGGCGAGCGGCTGGGATTCCCCGACTACAAACCACTGACCTGGTTTGTTTTACTTATGGAGATACTGTTTTATTCTGTGGTTCCTCATGCAAACTGATATTTCTAATGTGCTGGATTCTGAATTGATTATTTTAAGGTGCGGTGGCGACGTTGATTTTGTTTTAAGCAAATTTTATATGTGTAACTAATTTAAAAGTGAAAAATAATTCAAACAATTAATAAAACCCTTAAAGTTATATTAAAAAGAGTGACAGTGCTGACCTCTTTTAGATTATAAGTATTAAATTATTATTTCACTGTGTTTCGTGTTATTACTTATACTTATTATTATTACTTTGCCAAAATACATTAATTAAAGTTATGAATGAATAAATTTTTGTTTATTTTATTATTTGCCACTGTGAGTCTCATTTCTATCTGTTTTGGACATGCATAAATGGATCGTTTCTATTACTATACTTTACTCGGCCTACTCGGCCGAGCACCGAGTACATATTACTCGGTTAAAATTCTGGCCGAGCACCTAACTACTAGGTACTCGGTGCAGCCCTAACCAGTACCTAGTACCACAGATTAGATATCCTATAAGTATACAGATAAAAATTGTCCCTAATTCGTGGTAGGAAATTTGTTTTTTATGACGATGTGCAAACGAGTAAATTTTCTTGTGCGCAAAAATAAACTCCCGTTTAAAAAGTGTAATAACTGGGCCGGTCAGGCGCTATGCACAATTTTAGAGGATATAAGTGGGTGTACTTATGCGCAAACTAGTAACCTAACTAGTGCGCGACTCCGAAAATTGGCACCACGAAAAACAATGCTTTTGACGATAAGTTTATAATCTGTGCTAGTACTTTCTACCCTAATGGGTAAAGAGTACCCTTTCAGGGCTGTTACGAAATTTTACGCTACTGCAATTCACTTTGGCATTAAAATGTGTGTAAGAGTACCAAATTTCAAGAAAAACGGTTTACCACTGTTCTTAATAACGAACGAAATGTATTATTTTTATTTACCCTTTCAGGTGCTATAACTTCCTCTGATGCATGTTAGGGCATAAGGGCCCTATGAATTTTAGGGCATAAGTTCATAGGAACTTTTTGATTTATTTCTATCTGTAGAATGACCCACCAAAATTAGGTGCACTATTTTTTTGACACCCCGTATAATATAAATAAGAAATTTGATCTACTTCTATAACTGATTTAATTATATAACACAATTAAAGCATCAATTATATAGCTAAATAAGTAATCTAAATAAATTATTAATAAATTAATTTAATCAATCTGCTGAACTATAACAAGATTTTTCACTTATAATGTACATCACCTGAGCTAGTGTAAAATAAAGAAAGCACTACTCAATTTAATTCAACTTTTAATGATTGTTAATAGATTAAACATTTATTTTTAAAATAAATAGCCCACCACTTTAACTTGTTGTTGAGTAGAAAGCAGATAATTAAAGCTGAAATTTCATTGGTTGATTGTGTGTAACAATTCGGTGGTGCCCTGTTGCCAGACGTAGCGGCAGATTCCAAGTCGGTCAGCTTTTAAAGTAGTAGGGTGCAGGCAGCGTTGCCGAATTTGGGAGAGTAGTGGTCGTTGTGCAGCGTTGTCGAATTGATGCAAAAGGACAATGTTGCCACATTAATTTTTGTAAAAGAACCCGATGAGGCCCGGCGGTTGTTGCTGAACTGATGATGGTTGCGACGTTTAATTTTGGTTTTTGGGCGTTTTGGCGGCGCGGGCGATGTTTTTTTGAGATGTTGAGTGTTGTCAGAGAAGGCCTTGGGGACAGAGGGGTGATGTGTTGTCTCAGGGGGGGATGAGATGGTGGTAGAACAGCGCCAGCGCTGGCGACACCCTGTAACGCCCACAAACCACTTTACACTGTATCTCTTTTCTTAACTACTAAATATTTATCATTTCATAAGTTACCCTTGATATATAAAATGTACTGTAGAACACTGTCTATTTTAATAAATTAAATAAATAATAAAATTAGAATTATGCAAAATTTAAGGAATATACAGTCTGGCCCAAAAACTTTGCAACAAATGGATAAAAAATATTGGGAGTTTTAAAAAAAGCGCTACAACAAAAATATCATGTTGGTATATGTTGTCATGCTGCATACAGTGCTGTCATAGTAGCAAATTTTAAAAACCTTTACATATATGTAAAGAGTTAGATTAGGTAGCAATTTACAGGGAAATCATAAATATACAGGGAAATTTATAATTATTCAGCTTCACAAAAAGTTCAATCAAAAAGTCATGAAATTGTTCAGAATCAGTCTCTCAATTACAAAAATTATCAATTGTTGGTCTATTTTTGCGAGAATATTAAAAAAATCATATTTTTTGGCCCATAAATTACATAAAATTGACAAAAACCAAATTCAATAATTTTTCTCTATTTGAAATTGTAAAAAAATATAATGTTTAGTTTTCAGGATACCATACATAATCGAAAAAAAAAACGATGTCAGCGATGGCCATGAAATGACGATCGATCACATTTCCCATATAATTTTACATATAAAATGACAGCAATCTTCATTTCATAGCCATCGCTGACGCCGTTTTAATTCGATCATATGGTACATTACAATCTACTGTTGCTAAATCTGTTTTTAGTGTACACAAACAAGGGTAGAGATTGTTTAATTTGTCATCAAGAAAGTTGTTAACATAATGTACATAAGCTTTTTTGTTATTGGATAAATTGAATTATTTCAGCATAAGAGCTTTTTCTTCTATAACTCAATATTAAACATTTGTTGCAAACTTTTTGACACACATTGTATAGAATGTTACAAAAAAGTTTTACGACCAAGCATGCTTCCATATAAATAATACTTCATGCTTCGTATGATGACAAATACACAAAAAAATATACTGTTACTGTCAAAATATACTTGATTATAAAACTTTTTGGTTGGGTTGGTATTACTAGCAAATTCGAATAATAAATAGTAGTAGTTCATAATGTAATTACAAAGATAACTCATGAACCAATACAATAAGTAAAAGCGTTTAGAAGAAACTGCATCTAATAAACAAGTTTGAAAATATTTTACCTGTCTCTTGACCTTGAAGAATATCTGCCCCTTCTGTTTCCACCACCGCGTCTAGATCTGCCACTTGACATTTCAACTTTAATTCTTGCACCACAGCAGCGACTAAAATAATAAAAACCAAAAAGGTATGAATAATACAATTGAAATAAGTACCCAAACTTGGTATTGTTAATTGCAAGCTAAATATATAGACAAATATGTAAAAGGATATAAACTTACGTTCCATCTAAACCTCTAACAGCATCCTCAGCATCTCTAGAGTCTTCAAATTCAACAAATGCAAAGCCAGGAGGATTTCTTGCAACCCACACATTTCTCAGAGGTCCATATTTGCTAAATGCACTCTCAATTTCATGTTTGCTTGCTGACGATCCCAAATTTCCCACATA